ATTCAGGAGAGCAGAGCCCTCATGACCTAATTCCTTCTCCCCAAAACTCCACTTTCTAATACCTTATTAGTTAGGTTTCAGCATATGATTTTTTGAAGGGACATGCATACTCAAGCTACAGCAGTTCCTTAGAGCAGGACCATGTCCACTTCCTTACCTCCCCTTCAGTGGGTCCCTGGAAAAGGCTCACAGAAGTGAAAGGAAAGAGAAGTAGAGCAGTTACAGCTCCCAACCCCAGAACAAAAACAGACTTCAAAACACTGGAATCTGAGCAACTGCCTTCCCTTCTGTGAGCTCTCTTCCTGGTGGGCAGCCCCACCTCTAGGGGAGCTTGGGGGAAGGTATTATTTGTTGTCTCATTTGACAGCTGAAGACATACAAGGATGATTTGGCTCAAGGTTATGAGCTAATGGGAGGACCCCGATCTTGCTCTGGGAAGCCACCATGGTCTTCATGAGTTGCTGCAGGTCAGAGTAACTCTCCCTTGCAAGAACTTGCTCCTGTGTGCTATTCTGGCTCCCAGAATGGTGTTGACTTGCCTGACCTTACAGATGCCTTCTTGATAACATAAGCAGAGCCCTGGAAAACCACTCCCACCAGATCTTCACATGCACCTGCTGCTCTTCCATTCTAGGCCTTGGCCTCCAGCTTACCTTTCTCAACCATCCTCTTTACTGCTTTTCCAAAACATTGGTAGAATTGCATCACAGTTCTGCTTAAAATAAAGTGTGCTAACATTTATTGAGCCTTTACAGTGGGTGAGGTGCTGTTCTGTGATCTTTTTTTTAATAAACTTAATGTTTATGGCAATTCTGTGAGGTAGTCAATAGTGTTAGTTCCATTTTGCAGGTAATGTAACTGAGTCATAAGAAGTTAATTTAGCCAGGTGCTGGTGGCTCACAGCTATAATCCCAGCTACTCAGAAGACAGAGATCAGGAGGATCTCTGTTCGAAGCCAGCCCTGGGCAAATAGTTCGAGAGACTCTATCTCGGAAAAAACCCATCATGAAAAAGGGCTGATGGAGTGGCTCAAGGTATAGGCTCTCAGTTCAAACCCCAGCACCACACATACAAACACATGCACAAAGTTAAATTTGATTTACTCAAGGTTACACAGTAAATAGTAGAGTTAGGGTTTGAATTCAGGCAGTCTGGTTACTGACCTTGGGCTTCTCAGGCCAGAAAAGCCCTCTGTATAATAATCATAATAATAATGATAATTATCATTATCATTATTATAATTAACATGCATGAATTGCTTACTATATGCTAGCCCCTTTTCTGGCTGTGTTACATGTACTAACTCATTTGATTCTTACACTAGGACTGGTGTATTGTGAGGTACTGTAATCTTCATTTTACAGGTAAGGAAACTAAGGCTCAGAAAATTGCACCAGCATGGGTTACTAGACTGTTGAGCTCCAGACAACTATGCTGTGGTTTCCCTGAGTCAGAATCCAAGGCTCTTTGGGTTTATGCAGCCTGATCTTCAAATTTGCATTAAAGACCATCTTTCACTTTATTTTTTGATCTATGGGCACCTTTTTTCCTTCCCAATCAGATCTCAAGATCCACAAAGCCAGTTTTTGTGTCTGGTATTTTCTTCAGTTTCCCCAGCTCACAGCAAGGGCACTGTCATACAGTAGCAGAGGTCAGTGGAGGTCAGTTTCAGCCACAGAATGTGAAAAGGTAAAGAGGCCAGGGATATCTCTCACAGAAGTGAAGTGGCCATCCACCAAGACCTGAAGGTTAAGACACAATCTAGGACTTGCTACCTGAGGCTCCAAACCTACCCTTACCTCCCAGATCCTTTTGTAAAGTAAATCCTATTCAATATGCCCTTAAGGAGTTTACTACTTGAGAAGCCATCATTAAAGACAAGTGAGTGCTTTGAAAGTGGAATCTCTACAAATTTTATATACATATATAAAACTTGGCAATTGAGCCTCAAGAATGGCCAGAGATTTCCCATAACTGTAATCTTTTTTTTTTTTTTTGGTTGTGGTACTGGGGTTTGAACTCAGGGCCTTCATGCTTCCTAGGCTGCCCATCTACCACTCTGCTACCCCACCCCCCTTTTTTTGTGGTACTGGAGTTTGAACTCATACATTTGAGATTGTAAAGCAGGCAGGTGCTCTACTGCTTGAGCCTCACCTCCAGCCCTGAATTGGGTATTTTTGAGATAGGGTCTCAAGAACTATTTGCCCAGTGCTGGCTTTGAGCCACAATCCTCCTGATCTCAGCCTCCCAAATAGCTAGGATTACAGGTGTGAACGACCAGTGCCCGACCATAACTGTAATCTTTATTTTTTCCTCCTTGAGAGGGAGAGGGATTCTAGATTTTTTGGGGGTAGGGTGAAGTGGGGAGGAGACTGGGTTTTGAACGCAGGGTTTCAAGTGCGCTACTGCTTGAACCACATCTCTAGGAGAGGAGCTCTAAAGGAATACTTCTTATTTTATAAAAGGGAAAAATTAGAGTTACTTAAGTTCACTCAGCAAGTAAAGGGAGAATTAGGGCTAGAATCCAGTTCTCTTAGTCAGGAAATAGGGCTGAGGTGACCTAGCAAGACTCACTTTGATTTTTTTTTTTTTTAGCAGTCCTGGGGTTTGAACTCAGGGTCTCCCACTTGCTAGGCAGTCACTCTATCACTTGAACCACTTTGCCAGCCCCAGACACTCTTTGGGTTGGGGTTTCTATCATCTGCCATCTGTCAGTTCCCCTCTTCCAGGAATTTGAGATTTATAAACAGCCATCTGTACACTGAGTAGGAACTCAGCAGCACTAAACGCAGACCTAAGACTTAAAAACACAAGGCTTTGGGTTGCTCTTGAAAAGGCTTAAGAGTCTCATTTAAGGCTCTGGGGCCAGGATTCTTCCAAAAACATTGATGGATGGGGGCTTTTCACTCAGTCAATGAACATGTGTAGCCCACTCCTGGTGCTGCTGTGTCCTCCTTCCAGGTAGACCAGCTTGCTTCTTTTGTGAAGAGATGAAAAACCCAAGGAAGTCAAGACAAAGATCAAAGATCATCTTAATTTGAGAGTGGCAGGGCAGGATGTGCAGTTTAAAAGGCTAGGGCTGGGTATGCAGCTCAGGAGTAGAACACTTGCCTAGCATACTCAGGGCTCTGGGCTTGATTCCCAGCACCAAAACCAACAGACAAGAAACAAGAAAACAAACAAAAAAACCAAAAAAAACCCACTTAGCAGACTAGTGAAAACCTATTGTGAATGACAGGGTTGTCAATCAGGCAGATTGTGATGGACAGCCAATCAATGAATTGGACATATCTCACAGACTCCTATAAGGAAGACTTTATAACTAGCCCCCTGTTACAGATTCAGAGAGTTAAAGTCACCCCTTGCCCAGTTTCCAGTCACAAAGCCCTTTCCTGTACAGGACCCCACAGTGCCTCACTTTCAGGAAGAGTAGTGGTATAAGGGGAGCAAAAGTAACTACGGAGATGACTCCATTTTAGATGAGAGAGGCACTTTAAAAGCAGACATCTAAAGAGGCGTGGGAAACAACAGGCTTCTCAGAGAAATAACAAATCCCTTCCAAAGTAACAAAATACAGATGCACAGTGTGGATAGTGGGCCTCAAGGCCAGGACGAATTGAGCAGACTTTTAGACTTTGAAGGGCAAGATGAGCTGACCAGACCTTCTTGAAATGCTCAGTTCAATAAGAAGAGGGATGGATAGGTGGCCAAGTTCAGCAAGAAGCTGAGTGGGAGCTAACCAATCACAAATGTAGTTTCAAGATAGAATAGTTGGACCTAAGCCAGGCAGAGCTATACTAAGGCTTCAGCTTTCCAAAACCCCTCCCCAGTCATAGGGAGCTTTTGCTGTCCTTTCAATAAATTTTGTGCTTGCTTTATTCTTAACTCCTGGTCTGGTGTCTTCAATCATCAACTGGGCCAGAATATGAACTCTGGATCAACAATCCAGTATTAGTGGTAGTACTGCTTGATGGTTAAGAGTTTTGGATTAGACCTGAGTTTGAATCCCCACTTATCCACCAAAGTTATTTAATCCCTCGTGTCCTCAGTTACCTCACCAGTAAAATAAATGCCTTTCTCATAGGGCTGTTGAGAAGACAAATGAGATAAAGCACATAAAGTCCTGTGAGTGAGTCCTAAGGGGTGTGTGTGTGTGTGTAATTTATATTCCCCCCCTCAACGATGGGCGCTAGGTCCCAGAGGGTCCTCCTGGTCACGCATTCCTTCTGCTTCCTGGGTATGAAGACCCAGAGGGAGGGGGTGCTCTGGAGGTGGGAGGGCACGGTCCACACGAAATTGCTGACTAAAAGGACAAGTGATGAGCAGTTTTGGCCATGAAGAATAGCCCAGGGCGAGAGATATGGTTCCTAAGGTTGGGGAAGGAAGAGGGGACAGAGGCCATGAAGAACTTCCTGTGTCCGTTGCGGTCTGTGCCCCGGAAGCCCCGCGCTTTGGAGAGGTGAGTGCCCGCAGGTGCACGCCCAGGATGCTTGGTTCCCCAGGAAAGTTATTGATAAAATGTTTGCGGAGGTTAATAAGGTTTGCGAGCCTAGTCTGTCACTGTTCCCGGCCCTCTTGGGCGGCCTGTCTTGTGGGCTTTGGCTGGGTGGTGTCTTCTGGGAGGGTATTGGAGCTCTGGGGTACGCAGGGCGGGAGGCTAGGCCGGGACTATGGCGCGGAGCCACGACGAGGCTGGTACTCGGAGGTCGCCCACGCGAGGTGGGTGCCCTTGCCCACCCTACTGCTCCGCCTGGCCTAACGCGCCAGGATGCGGTGACTGATCCCAGCTGGTGGCCGGGCCTGACCTTGACAGTTGTCTGCAGCCAGCCTTGCGCTCGTTGCTAGGCAACAGCGCGCAGCCTTGTGGACTCTGGATCCCGCCTGCCCCTCCCGCAGGCGCGGGCAGAATCCCGGGGAATCCAGGCCGGGTTTTGCAGCGGAGCGGTAGGACTGCTCTTGTTAACCCCTCATCTGTCGCCCTGAGCAGCAGTCAACCAAGGGAGATCATGGTGCTGGATGAGCTGTGGACGGCGCTGGCTGGAGCCTCCGGGGCTGCCCTGGCTTGCTGCTTCGTGGCAGCGGCGGTGACCCTGCGCTGGTCCCGACTCAGGACGGCGCGGGGCGCGGCGGCCCGGGCCCGACAGAGGCAGCAAGCGGGCCTGGAGACCATGGACAAGGCGGCGCAGCGCTTCCGGCTCCAGGTGACCGTCGTGCCGGGGCGGGGGGGTGGGCATGATTTGGGGACATGGGATAGAAGCACTTTCAGCCGCTCGGACGCGCAGAGAGCAGGCAAGCGGGCAGCGCATATGTGTGCTTATCCAGACCTCTCCTTTCCTCAGTGCATTCCGCAATCTCTGAGGCAGGTGAGGCCGGAGGAGGAACGGAAACGCAAGGGACAGGGCAGGTCCTGGAGGACCATCGCCACCCTGGGTCAAAGATGAGCTTTGCTTCGGGTCAAGGAATCCCCATTGCTATTAGAATGCTAAACTATTAGCGTGAGGACGAATAGGATGCTAGCGTTTGGGACTTTGGAATCACGGAGTGATGGCCCAAGGCATCGGAAGAGTTTAGAGTTCATGTTTATTGATTTGAGCATGAGGGTCTTAAAAGGGAGCCAGAAAACACACTTGCTCAAGTGCACAAGGAATTATTGGCAAAGCCTGTCTAGAGTGGAAGGCAATCCCCAGCTCTGTTGATCCTGCTGTCCTGTCCAACACCTCGCAACCTCTTCCAGGTTTAGTTCTAGCCCTTCTCTGGGTGATCTGTCAACAAGCTTTGCTTCTTCCTGCGCTGTCTTGGATCATGACTTATGTCTGTTTGGGGACCGGAAAGAAGGACCTGGGGGGAGGGGGAAAAGGTCTTTAGAAGAGGGGATTTCCTTTCAGGTGTATGAAACACTGGCCCCAGTTAGAAACCAACAGGCTGAACTCTGGGAGATGTTCTTATGTGCTGAGGGAGAGAAGACTTGTTGTAAGTGTTTGGGGATCTGACAGGTGGGAAGGCATCCAGGTGATGGGGACAGCAGGAGTGGGGAGGGTGTTTCTAGGTGGAAGATGGGGAAGGGGTTCACTAAAAATTGCATTTAGCAGGTGCTCAGCTGCAGTGAATGATTTTTGAGTTGGGGCAGAGCTGGACCAAGCACTAGGTACCCAGTGGGACTACTCACTACAGTGGAGAGGATTAGGAAAGGAGACTGGGACTTGAATGTCAAGCTCAGCCTGTTGTGGTGAATATGGGTGAAGTTTTAGCTGGCTGTTATTGTTTGAATTTACTCCACACCATCTCTAAGGCCAGGGTGTGTCTTAACTGATTGATTGGCTGAAATAAAAAGACCTCTCGTTCCAGCCCCCACTCATCAAGCTGTTTGAAAAGTTCACCATCAGCCATTTTCTAGGATTCTCTCCTCTCAAGTTGGAAGGGTCTTTGTGTTTATTCCAAACTGGCCACGTCCTCTGTCTGAGCATGGGAACTTCACTGTCCTGCCTTCCTTCTGTGGCTGAGCTCCGGAGGTGCCCCTCTCAGGGATCCTGGTGATGATCCCTTGGCTGCACCCAAATGTCTTCTGTGCAATCAGCTGAGTTCTACCAGCTCCCACATCCGCAATGGGGAGCAGGCTCAGAAATCTGCTCACAACTCCTGTCTACAGGAAGGAATCCTAGTTGCAAAGAATCCATTTGTCTGGTAGGGCTGGGTGCTGATAGAAGGGTGGGAATTCCTACATTTCATCTCCCTGTATCAACAAGATACAAGAATAATTGTCCTTCTGTTTTTTTAAAGAACGGAATCTTTCAAGATAGAATTTTTTACTCTATAAAAGGCTATATACATACCCTCCCTGAGTGGAGGCCTGGTCTCAAACACCAACCTTGGCTTTTTTTTTGTGGTGCTGGGGTTTGAACTCAGGGCCTACACCTTGAGCCACTCTACCAGCCCTTTTTTGTGATGGTATTTTCAAGATAGGGTCTTGTGAACTATTTCCCGGGGTGGTTTCGAACCTCGATCCTTCTGATCTCTGCTTCCTGATTAACTAGGATTATAGGTGTGAGCCAGTGGCGCCCAGGCAGGCTTTTTTCTTTTTTTATGGTGCTGGGTTTAGCAAGGCCTCATGCTTGCTAGGCAGGTGCTCTACCATTTAGGCTACACTTCCAGCCCTGCATGCTTTAGTTATTTTTCAGATAAGGTCTCAGGGTGCTTTTTGCCCAGAGATGGCCTGTATTCTCCCAATCTCTGCCTCTCAGATAGCTGGGATTATAGGCATGTATCACCATGCTTAGCTGCAAACTTGGCTCTTTTAGGAGGAGAAATTACCTGTTGGGTTTCGAATTACTGGAAGCCAAAGGGAGAACCAGCTAGGAACCTCTGGTTTTTCACAGTCAGCAAGGGTGGAGTCTCTCTCTTTCTCTAAGGGAATTCTCTACCTGTTACCCAAGCAGATCTCTAACTCAGCTGAAGTGATCCTCCTTTGTTGGTCACCCTAGTAACTGGGACTATATATAGGTGTGGGTCACTATGCTTGGCTAGGGGATGGGATTTTGATGACAAGAGCTTTGTAGGCTTTGGGGGAGTGGGTAGTTTCAGATGAACTCAGATAACTCAGAGACCAGCTCCTTCCCCTCCCCATTCTATGGTGCCCTCCTGCTGGACTGTGTCCTCCCTGGATGAGAGGGAGGTAGGACCTAAGGCTGCTTCAGAAGACTTTCTTCTGGGGCTTTCTCAGTCCAGCCCTGAATAGCAAGGGGGCATCTGGGAAAGTAGGGCCCAGACGTCTAGGAGGATATAGCAGTGTGTAGTTCAGTCTCCCTGATAGATGCTGGATGAAGCTAGCTTTGTGCCAAGGGGAACATAAACTGGATGGTGGGGGTAGGGATTGATTTGGAATGATATAACTTAAGTACTTCTGAGTTATCACAAAATCGTTCACTTCCCAGACGCTGGAGCAACTCTAGAGAGAAGTGTGCTTCTGGTAACTGTTGACCATGGGAGGCTTACCTGTAATAACCTTTCACCCGCTTCCCCCAATTGCCTCCTGAGCGAGGGTTTTTTTTTTTTTTTGGGTGGATTCTGGGGTTTGAACTCAGGGCCTCACACTTGCTAGGCAGTCACTCTACCACTTGAGCCACTCCACCAGCCCTACCCATCCCCTCAGTGAGTTTTGATAGCCTTTCTAGACTGCAGACAGGGACTACCAGTAACAGGCTATTGAGGCTTGAGAGAGATGCCACAGAACACTTCCTACCTCTGTGCCTTTGCATATTTGGTTTTGTTACACCCTGGATGCCTTTTTCATCTCATGCACCTTCTTGGCAGAGGCTAATTGGTCCTGCTAATGTTACTTCCTTTACCTGGCTCCACTGCGGTTCTGTCTTCTGGCCTTCTGGAATCTTCCCTTGAATGCTACTTTGAAATGATTCTGTAGGTGAGTTGACAGAGAGCATGGTTACTATTGAGACTAGTGTCCGCTGTCTATGGTGGTCAAATGGAGGAGATATCTTGAAATAGAACAAAAGTGATTAATAAAAAACATGAAGGAAAAGATAGTCAGGGAGATCTGAACTTAAGACAATAGGTGGTTCAGGAGAAAAAGAAACTGTTGGAAGAGGGGCAATGCTCAAAAGATATAGTAGCTGTCTCTTGAAAATTTTCCCATATAGGGCAACCACACAGTTAATTGGAGGTTACCATATACATTCTCCACAGAGATTGGCCTCCTGGAGGTGCAGACTTACTTTGCTGCCTCGTGGAAGAAAATGTCTCAGCTGTCTGAGACCAGTTGAAGACCTAAAAATAGCTATTAGCAACTGTGTCATCAACTGTCATCAGGGAAGAACACAGGAAAGAATTAAAATGCGTGTTGAGAATGTTTGGGTGCTGGTAACTTCTAGCTGATATGCATGAGAGCACCGTTGTAAAAAGTGGGAGAAGATGGTGACCAGAGTGCTGGTGGTAGTCATCCCAGAGTGGTGGGCTATCTGTTCATTTTTATTTCTTACCCCTACATTTAGGCATTAAAAAAATGAACAAGCCAAGCACCAGTGGCTCACACCTATCATTCTAGCTACACAGGAGACAGAGATGAACAGGACTGAGGTTCGAAGCCAGCTTGAACAAATAGTTTGTGAGACCCTATCTCGAAAAAACCTACTACAGAAAGGGGCTGGTGGGGTGGCTCAAGGTGTAGGCCCTGAGTTTAAGCCCCAGTACCACAAAATAAACAACATGAATATATATTTATAAAATCAGAAAAAAGAACACAACTTGCTTTCATTGTGACATGGGAGCAGCAAGATGCAATAGTTTGTACAGCTATCACTTCATGTAAAAAAGAATAAATATCAGTAGCTCTATATGTTGTGGGTTTTTCATAATCATTTTTTTTCCTGTAAGCATTCTTCAGAAACTTAGCTATAGTTTCCTTTACAGAAGAGGAAACATTCAGAGGTGGACTGGAGTGGGCAAATTATCATTTTTTTATTATAAACTTGTTAAAAAATATCAACAAGGGTTATCTGGTGTGTTAGGGAGAGATTACAGATTCATTTTTTTCTTCTCTGTGGCTTTCTTTATTAAAAAAGAAATCCCGGATAAGTGCTGTATCATTTAACAAATTTGGGGAAGTGCTTCTGATACTAAGAATGTAAAGCATCAAGCCATGGAGGGTGTGGAGGTGCTGTGTTCTGGGGATGTGGTGGGTGAGAGGGGGCAGTGGTGCAAAGGGGGTGCAGAAGAGTCTGCTCTTTCTTTCTTTCTTTCTTTTTATTTTGGTGGTACTGGGCTTTGAACTGAGGGCCTAAAGCTTGCTAGGCAGGCGCTCTACCGCTTGAGCCACTCCACCAGCAGTGGAGTGTTTGACGGGACCATGGCCTGGAAGCACCTGCTGGACCATATTCTGGAGTTTATGGTGTGACATGAAGGGGAGATCCAAGGCTAGATTGGGCTTTGACCTTGTCTGGCCCTAGCAGGAAGGACAAATCAGAGGGGCAGTCTTGGGAAGGCAGCAGTTAGTTTCCCTCTGTGTCCCAAGAGTAAGGGATGAGCCTGGATGAGGGTCTTGATAGAAGGCTGCTTAGAGAAGTTGGTGACTGATTGGGAGGGAGAGGGAGGAACTTTGATGACTGTTTTTTCACCTAAACAACTGGAAGGATAACATGTACTTGCCTGGGGGAGGTACTGGTTACAATGAAGAGGAGGGCTGGATTGAAAGTGGAGAAGGTGATGACTACAGAGTAGCCCCATGAGCTTCTTTGAGTTCATTTGTGTGGGACTAGGTGGTGAATCAGGAGGTATGGGATAGGTGTGGGGCCTGGAGTGAGACAGGAGGATATGATGGGGAGAGGGAATGGAAGCAGGCGGGGAGACCTTCTCCCACCCTCAGAGAAGGAAGACAAGTGCCCAGGGAACCTGGGGAATCCTGTGTTTCTCTCTCCACTACTGGCTCCTCCTCATCCTTCAGATTATAGCTGAAATGTCACCTCTTCATACAGGCTTACCCATTCCATCAAAGTCTTTTTGAGACAAGATTTCCACTAATTAGCCCAGGCAGGCCTGGAACTTGCAATCCTCCTCCTGCCTCAGCCTCTTGAGTGCTAGAATCTAACCATCCTATCTAAGGCAGTCCTCTCATTTCCATCATACCTTGTCTCACCTTACCATAACCTGTCTAGATTATCTTGTTTACTTGTTGGATGTTGGTTGTCTGAAAGCAAGGACCTTAACTTGGTTACTTCTAAATTTGTAGCCCTTCACATAGTTCCTTGGCACATGTTTGTTGACTGACTAAATAAATGAATGACAGAGGAAGCAGCACAGAGGTACTAGGGAAAGCAGGAGAATATAGCATTTCCACATCCAGGAAGAATTGACGACAGCAGTGTATAGTCTCAATACCCTGAATACCTAAGTAAGACGTGAAGGGAGATAAAAAAGAGTCAAGTGTCTATTGGATCTGGCAACAAGGAAGTCTCTGGTGACCTTGGCAGGAGTAGAGTGGGTGGGGTGAGCAGTGGGGGCTGTGACTCATTTTCACTAATTGGTCCAATACTCCTGAGGAGGAAGCAGGTGGGTTTTTACAGGTAGAGGCTGACCCCAGAGACCAGGAGGCTTGGAGGTGTGGTAGACTTCCGCCCTAGCCAGTTGCGGTATCTCCTGCCCCAGCTGTTTTATTTTCTTTATCTCTCCCTATCTTTTTTTTTTTCTTCTTGGAGGCACTGGGGTTTGAACTCAGCCTCATGCTTGCTAGGCAGGCGCTCTACCACTTGAACTACTCCACCAGCACTTTCCCTATCTAAAATTCTTACTCGTTTACCCTATTTCTTTCTCACATTTTGTCACTGCCAATTGGATAGATAGAATTTTTTGTTTGAATGTTATATATGCTCTTTAATTCTTGAGCTGGTTATCTCAGTTTTTAAAACTCCTGCTTATTTTTTATTTTCTATATCATTTTCTTAATCATATTAATATTTGTCTTCTGTTACCCCCACCCCTGTCCTATATAAACTCTGTGGGCGTGGCTTTTTATTTGCTGCTGATTCCCATGCTGAGTGAGGTATAGGAGGGAAAGCAGGAGTAGGCACCTCATACATGTCTGCAGAATGAATGTGTCAATCCTTCCTTTTAGATGTGACCTCCAGCCACAGGCCCAGCCACTGGAAAGGGATCTTCTGGTATTTGCCCTTCCCCGCCAGAGGCTGGATGGCTAGGTGCAGGTGAATGGCCAGTGGGCAGGCTGTGCTGGGTGGGCAGAGCACTGCCACTTACCTTTATCCTCCTAGGCAAGGCACTTCCTCTCTCCAAGTCTTGGTTTCTTTATCTGTGTAATGAGAATGGTAGTATGATTTAATCAAAATATAAGTGAAGCTCGCATGGTAGTACAGTCCTGTAATACCAGCTACTTGCTAAGGCAAGCCTGGGCAACACAGCTGAGACCCAGTTTCAAAAACATAAACCCAGAGTATGTCAGCATAGCGCCTGCCATGCAGTAGGCAGCCATGCTTGGGTTAGTTGTAATGGTGCAATAATCAGCCTGAGTATGCCCCTACCTGCTCCAACCTGCTTCTCCAAGTGCAGGTGACATCTGCATTGGCCAGGGATGGCAAGGTCTGCCCAGAATGGGCAGAGCTGTGGGTGGATTTGCCATGGATTGGCTTGTGGCATTGAGCACCTGCTTGGGCACCGAGACGCATGGGCCACATGCATTTGGTGTAGACACCTTGGCCTTCGGGAAGTAAGGGGGTTGATCTGAGTGTGTCCCCCATAGAACCCGGACCTGGACTCAGAGGCGCTGCTGGCCCTGCCCTTACTTCAGCTGGTGCAGAAGTTACACAGTGGGGAGCTGTCCCCAGAAGCTGCTCTCTTTACCTATATTGGAAAGGTAAGGCCCTTGGCCAGCCCTGACACTTTATTTCCACCTCCCCCCCCCTTCTTTCTCTCTCAGCTGTGGGGAAAACCTGGCCTGGAGTTGTCCTACTCGGGGTTGTGGTAAGTGTGTGTGTATGTTTGTGTGTGTGTGTGTGTGTGTGTGTGTGTGTGTGTGTGTGTGTGACAGAGAGAGAGAGAGAGAGAGAGAGAGAGAGAGATGAGCCTTTCCTCTCATCTCTACTCCCATTGGTCACCAAGTCTGGCCTCACTACCCTCTCGTCCATGACCAGCAGCAGCCTCCTTGTGAGGTGCCCTCTCAGCTCTCTAGTCCTTCAGGCCCAGATCTCCTGTCTCCTCCAGCAGTACCACAGCCAAGGCCAAGGTTCAGGGCGTCAGAACTCTGGGCCTGTCTTGCTCTGCGACTGGCTTTTTGGGCCACAGCATGTCTTCCACAGGAAGTGCTCAAGAAATATGTGTAGAAAGAAAGAAAAGAAGGATAAATTGTGCACTGAATGTGACTTGCACATGATAGTGAGGTGATCAGGAGTGTCGGGTGATGGGTGTGTAAGACAGGGGTTGAAGGACTACAGCTGAGAGACTGCAGGTGAGCATTACTGACAGGACACAGGGACTCAGCAGATGGTATTGCTTCTTCCCTACCAAGTCCCTGAAAGGCTCCTGCCCTTCCTGGTCACCACAAGAGAGTGTTCTGGTTACACATGGGCTCCTCTCTTCCTGCCTTGGTGGCCTGGTGACAAATATCCACAGTCCTGAGTATGGCAGCACCACCCACTCCTTTCTTTAGGTGTCTGCAGGAGCAGGAGCAGGAGTCACTAGGCTGCTCCTGGCTCCTCCTGCTTTTCTCTCCTTGTCCCTGCGCTATGGTTGAAGGCTCTAGACAGATAACACTCTCAGCATGCATTTCCTTTCAGCCAAGCCCTTACCCCTTTACCACAGTCAGTCAGTACTCCTCTGTGTGACTTGGTTATTAGACACATGAGTCCCTGGGAAAGGGGAGCCTTGGCTGGGCCAGGTGTGGGCTAGGAATGGGCAGAGGAGAGAATGCTGGAACACAGGAGATTGGAGTCTGGGTCCATCCCAAGTGTGTGGCTGATTCCCACAATGAACTGACATGGGGTCTGCTCTGCCTGGTTCCCATCTGCCTCACTGGGCAGAGATGTAGCAGAGGAGTTGGGGTCGAGGCAGGGTGTGAGGAGTGGCCAGTGGTCATCTTCCTCCCAGTCATACCCTGCTAGAGACATCTAAGAATAGTATCTTCTTCCCTTGAGTGCCTTGGTTTTACCCTGGCCCTAGGAGTTTTCCCTGGCTCTGTCTTTGTCTCTCCCTCTGTTTTGTGTCTTGGGGTTGAAGGCCAGAGACAGTCAGGGTGAGGCTGGGGCCAAATGTCCCCAGCAAGATTAGTGCTGGGCCCAAGGTCATTCTCTGTGCTTGTTCTGGGTTTTTTGCTGGTTACCTTTTTCCTAGGTACACTTTAAAAGGCTAATTCAGTATGATATGTGTGTGTGTGTGTGTGTGTGTGTGTGTGTGTGTGTGTGTGATACTGGAACCCAAGGCTTTGTGTATGCTAGGTAAGTACTTTACCATTGAGGTAAATTGTTGAGGTTTTTTGTTTTGTTTTGTTTTTCAGACAGGGTCTTGCTATGTAGCCTAAATTGGCCCTAAATTCTTGATCCTCCTGCCTCAGTCTCTGAGTGCTGGAATTACAGGTGTGAACCACCACACCTGGCAATCTTTTATAACACATATTTTGCCACAATTAAAAAAAGAAAAAGAAAAAAAGGCCAGCTTTACCTTGTGTTCATTTTCTCCTCCCCTAGGCCTGGGAAGTGAACAAAGGGACCAACTGTGTGACCTCCTACCTGGCTGACTGTGAAACTCAGGTGTCCCAAGCCCCACGGCAGGGTCTGCTCTATGGTGTCCCTGTGAGCCTCAAGGAGTGCTTCAGCTACAAGGTACTTCATTCCCTGGTATTAGGCCTCCACATCCCCTCTGTCCCTCAGCAAGCTCGGTGTCCTGGGTCACTTGGGGCGCTCAGAGGAAATATCAGGTCCAGAGGCCTTGAGAGGGGACCTGGCCAGGATGACAGTGGTGGGAGTGGGTCTAGGTTGTTGCAGGACTCCTGCCTCATGGGCTGTGTCCTTTTGGTGCCCATCCCTCCTCCCAGGGCCAGGACTCCACGCTAGGCTTGAGCCTGAACCAGGGGTGCCGGCAGAATGTGACAGCGTGGTGGTGCAGGTGCTGAAACTGCAGGGTGCCGTGCCCTTTGTGCACACCAACGTCCCCCAGTCCATGTTAAGGTTGGGTTTCGGGTTGGTCCTCGGCAAGGTGAGGTGGAGCGGATGGGGGGCACCTGGGCTGGCATGACCAGTCTGACCCATTCCTGCTTCCTGCAGTTATGACTGTAGTAACCCCCTCTTCGGCCAGACCGTGAACCCATGGAAGTCCTCCAAGACCCCAGGTGGCTCCTCAGGGGGTGAGGGGGCCCTCATCGGCTCTAGAGGCTCTCTGCTAGGCTTAGGCACTGACATCGGAGGCAGTATCCGATTCCCTTCTGCCTTCTGTGGCATCTGCGGCCTCAAGCCTACAGGAAACCGACTCAGGTATGGTGGGTGAGGGGGCTTCTGGATCCCTTGCTTCGTGACATTGGCCTAGCCTCCAACCTCTCTGGGCTCCAGGCAGGAATTCACTCACCAGAGTTTGCTGGAAGAAAGTGTTACCACCCCCAGCCACCATAGTTTCTAGTTTCCGGTGAGGGGAGTTTGGAGCTGCTGCATGGGTTTGGGATGGGCCAAGGGCGGCTACTTCCTGTTCTCAACATCTTGTGTTTCTTACCTAGCAAGAATGGCCTGAAGGGCTGTGTCTATGGACAGGTGGCAGGTGAGGACTATGGTGCCCTTGAAGAGGGTGGGGGTCAGCCTGATCTACCTCTGCTAGCTACTTCTCTGGTGGGCAGTGTCTGGTTGCCAGGCCACTCTAGGTCTGAGGCCCACCCTCTTTGTCTTGGTCATACTCCTGAGCTGTGGCCCAGCCCTCACTTGGATCCAGCCCCAGAGCCCATTGGTTGCCAGGTGATCCCTGTTTCCTCTTCTCCCTGCGCCACAGTGCAAGTCTCTGTTGGCCCCATGGCCCGGGATGTGGAGAGTCTGGCGTTGTGCTTGCGAGCCCTGCTGTGTGAAGACATGTTCCGTTTGGACCCCACTGTGCCTCCCCTCCCCTTCAGGGAGGAGGTGAGTAGACAAGTAGAGGTAGGGTGGGCAAAGGTGTGAAATCAGGCAGTGTGAGTCCCTCACCCAAGGTCTGAATCTAGAGTCAACTGCTACACCACATATTGCCACTTGGTGGCATCCTTGTCTGCATTTGGAAGCCCTCAGGCTCTTAGCCTATGCTGTTGTCACTGAAGAATGGGAGTCAGGAACTACCTCTAGCCTGAAAATTCCTTGGGGGCGAAACCCTGTACTTGGGCTGTATTTGACCTCAGTAAATAACCTTGCTTACAGTATTCCTGTCCATATACCCTGCAAATAGGCAGATGTGCTTGACACAGACGGAGCGAGCTCTGGGCAGTATGGAATGTTGGCTCCCCTAAATATCACAGAGACAGCCTGTTGGTCAGACAGAACTGATCTCCTTACTTTTCCAGACAAGTGAGCTCTGGCTCAACAGAGCTTGAGCATCTTCTCAGAGAGCTGGGCAGTGTGGGGCCTGGCTTAGGCTGGTCTTTCAATATGGTGATTGGCTGAGGTTAGGTAAGGATCATGATGGAGGGGGTGAATTCAACTATGATATATTTGATATATTATAAGAACTTTTGTAAATGCCACAATGTACCACCAGTACAACAATGAAAAATAAAATAAAATAAATGAAGACAAAATAAAACCACTTAAAAAAAAGGATCATGATCTAATAGTTAAGGATTGCAAGGATAAGTTAAGGATAAGTTAAGGAGGTGAGAGGTTCAGAGTCCTAGGGCATCAGTGTCCTTGGATGCTTTCCACTGAAGAATTGATGGAGACGGTTCCAGAATCAACAAGATTACTTGTAGTTATGTATAAAGTGTTCAAGAGTAGTCATGTTTGGTGGATATGGACAGAGGAACAGGTGTCACATCAGTGTGGCTAGTGACCTGTGAGCCTGATGAGGCTCCACTTAGCAGCCCTGCATTTCTTCTATGCAGGCCTCTTGCCTCACCCCCACAGGCAACCTCAGAGGAGCTGAGGGTCTGTGAGCTGGAGAATGTGCTTGGTGTTTCTGGGGGTGGAGCAGATGGTCAGATCGGGGTGGGGTAGGGTGGGCTCTCCCTCCTCAGCAGACACATTCAGACAGTTGCAGCCTGAACTCCTTTCTGAGAGGAAGGAAAGGAGGGAGGTGATTTCTGTCTGGAGGTCTGGAATGGTTTATTATGGGAGCAGGATAGGTGAAGAGCCTTGGCTCAGGAGACAGGATGCTTGGGTCTAGGCCTAATCGTTGTTACTCTGCAGAAAGTGGTTGGGAAAGTCCCAGCCCCACTCTGAGCCCCAATCTCAAACCTCAGTTTCTTCTTATGACAAGTGGGAATTCATCTCCCTGCTCTGGTTACCTCCAAGTCATTGTGAAGGTGTTTTATGAAAGGGTCGGATATGGAAAGTCCTGACTCTGTTGATAACCCATTTTCAGGGGAAATGGTGACAGGAATCTGGGCTGCAACTTCACAGTTATGGCTGAGGCTGAGTAGCTTCTCTTTTAGAACTCTGCCTTGGCCATCCTTTCCTGTTCCAACCCTGCCTCTTGTGTTTGCTTCTAGGTCTACACAAGCTCCCGGCCCCTAAGAGTAGGGTTCTATGAGACTGACAACTATACCATGCCCAGCCCAGCCATGAAGCGGGCGCTGCTGGAGACCAAGCAGAGCCTTGAGGCTGCTGGTCACATGGTATGGCCGTGGGCGTCTGAAGTCCTGGCATCTCTACTCCTCCAGGGGAGCCTTCCTGGTACCCCTGGCGACTTCTTCCCAGGCTCTTGGCCTATTGTTTAGTCATTTGGGATGATGAGAACGTGGCCTGCGGGACATACATGTATAGCGTGGGCTGACCAGGAGTATTGTGGCTGGTGGTGGGTGGAAAACTCAGCCTGCACTGGGCAATGTGTGAGTGCTGCATTTGGAGGTTGTACCATTAATAAAGGTACACAGTTCTCCAGAAGTTTCTGAGGCCCTGAGACTGTGGGACAGTGAGTTTGGTCTGCTCTCTGAGACAGCTTTCTATGTGGCTCCCGACATCTCTCTTGAGGGCCATTTTACAGTAAGGCTGCCATTGTGGCTCTCATGAGAGTAACTATGGGGCAAGACTGGTCCATCCTATGCTTAGGGCCACTAGGACAGCATGTGGGTCATGGGAACACAGCGTTGTTAGGTCTGGGGGACTCACACCTCTCAACCCCTGCAGCTGGTTCCCTTCTTGCCAAGTGACATACCTCATGCTCTGGAGAACCTGTCGACAGGAGGGCTCTTCAGTGATGGTGGCCAGAGCTTCCTCCAGAGCTTGTGAGTGTTGTTGGGCTTTAGAGTCTGAGGTGGGATCAGAAAAGTGCCCAGACCCGGGAAGAGAAGCTGGGCTCTGTGACTCCCAGGGTGGGTCTCAGCCATACACAAAGAAGGTGTGAGCCTTCTGGGCAGGAACCTTGCTGCCCCACTAGCTGTGCAAGTTGTACCTGGAGATACCTCACCAGGGAGACTTTAGAAAGGTGGTGCCAGCTGAGAGGAGGCTGAATTGTGCATCCATAGCCTCCCCTGAGCTGAGCTGGTTGTAGGGTAGGGGTGGGCAGGACATTTCCTGTTGTTTGGAAAAGACAGGACCAAGGCAGGAGAATGGGGCATGCATATCAGGCTATGACTCCAGACTCCTTCTGATCTTATCCAAGTCTTTCTTTCTGAGCAGGACCTCAGTTTTCTCTTCTGTGAAGTGGGTGAGTTATAGCAGACTCACTTTAAGGGTTTGGCAGAGTTTATGTCTAGAGAAGCTGGTTCTCCTTGGCTATTCTCAGTCATTGAAGGGACAGAGGACAGTCCTGTGAAGGTGCCTCTTGGAGCTGTGATTTGATGGCCATAAACCTATTTTCTCTGCCTCATTGTGGGGCAGCTTGGCTCCCTCAGCTTCGCTCAGTCCAGGGCCCAGCCTGTCTTGTTTTCCCACTGATCTCGCAGCCATTGAGTATAGTCCAGGCTTTAAAGTGTGGGGTTACCTCTCGCTTTGGCCCTGGGAATAAGGCCCAGGATTGGCCACTTGAGACCTTTCTTTGAAATACTGAACCAGCTCAGAGATAGGCTTCATGCGCAGTCCACCCTGGACAGCCCCCCTTGAACCTGTGGACTGGTGTCAAGGCTGATCCAGATGTGCCTGGTGTGAAGCCTGGGCAAGGAGATGTTGCCCTCAGTCCTTATGATCTGAGCTGGATCTGCTGGAGAGAGAGACCCCAAGTGCTTTCTTGGGAACTCCAGTGGGGGTGGGGTGGAGCCCAGGTGTCCCAAAAGACAGATGAAGGTGACAGATGAAAGGGTTGGAAACCTGTAATTTACTGAAGTCTGGGGAGGAGGGAAGTATAGAGAACAGTAGAAAATGGGTTGTAGTTGCTGTGCAGGAATCCAGGAGGGGTGGGCAATGGGAGCACCTAGACTGGCTCTTTTTGTCTCTCAGCAAAGGTGATTTCGTGGACCCCTGTTTGCGGGAACTGATCTTAATTCTAAAGCTGCCCAGGTGGCTTAAAGGACTGCTGGCCTTCCTGCTGAAGCCTCTGGTGAGGGTATAAGATGTTTGAGGGGCTGGGCTGGGTTGGGCAGAGCCTCTAACATCCTGACATCCATGGCCTCTGTTTCTTTCCTGCCTCGCCTTGGTCTCTTGGTTTGATCAGGTATTCTTCTCTCTATCCCTACCCCTGACTGCTCTCCTCCCCATCCCCTACAGTCTTAAACCAACCTTCCTACTGAAAGGGTTGCATCCTGGGGCCCAGGGGACACAGAGGAATGAGGTGTGGGTGACTGCCAGTGCCCCAAGCTGAGTCACTGACCCTGTGTCTGTTCTGCTACAGTACCCACGGATGGCGGCCTTTCTCAGCAGCATGAGGCCTCGGTGAGAATCTTTCCTGTGCCCAGATACCTGCCCCTTGTCTATTTCTACCCATCTGAGTCCAAATGGCTTCTGGCAGGAAAAGCCCTGGAGAAAGTAGTTTCTGAGGTCGAAGTGGCCCAGGCAGACAACCTCTGTGGCCCTCAGATGGGACCTAGAAGCTGTCTGAGCAGGGTCCAAGTCTGACTGGAGAGCAAGGGGTAGGAGGGAACTGGACGAAATAGAAGGAGGGAAGAAGGTTGGTCTAGCTGGCCACAGTGGGAAGAAGAAGTTGGCATGGGCTGGGGTGATGTGTGGAGGCTGGACACCAGGGAAGCATGAAATGTAGAAAACTGAACTGAACTGAGCTACACCAGGTTCTACCTGCCCCTTTGTGGCTTAGGTAGAAAAGCATGGGTTCAATTACTCCATTCCCTGTCTGACACCCTGTAAACTGATTCCTTCTCTTACCTCCAGGCATTCAGGATCTTTGACAATTCTGGCCTCTCCTGTGTCATGAGGGTAGCAGGGAATCAGACTTAATCTAGTGCTGTCTCTGTTAAGTGGTCACTAAGTGACCTGGCCTAAGTCCCTTTGGGGCCTAGTTTTTTCATCCGGGCAGCAACACCTCAAACTTCTGCTCTCTTAGAGCTCCCCTCAGATTGAATGATATGGTGAGAATAGGATGTCTGATGTTGCTCATCCCTGTGACTGTGGTCATGATAGCTGGTGACTTCATTCCTTTTGCCCAGGTCGGCTGGAGAGCTCTGGGAACTGCACCATGAGATTGAGGTGAGGCTTGAGTGGAGGGGGAGGGGCACCTGCCAGTGGGGTCTTTTGGTTACTGCTTCCACTGGTCTCCTGAAGTGATCTGTCATTCCCTCTTCTCTCTGGGTCACAGTGTGGGCCCTGCTTTCTGATGCTTATTTGCTCAGTGCCTGTCCTTAGGGGCTGGGTTAGTGTGAGGCTCCTCTGGGACTGTAGTGTGTGGCTTCACCTTGGCAGAAAGTGTATCTGTGGTTTAGGTGGGAGGTGAAATATGATGCTGCTGCTCAGAAGCAGAAGTGCCTGCCTGTCTGGAGGACCTCCATTGCCTGGTGGCTCAGCTCAGATCCAGTGGCAGGTCTGGAGCCACAGCCACCCAGCCACCATTCCTGCATTGGATGCCCTGGATCTGAATGCCTCCCCTGGCATGTGGGTTTCCCCTTAGATGTATCGCAACTCTGTGATTGCTCAGTGGAAAGCGCAGGACCTGGATGTGCTGCTGACCCCTATGCTGGGCCCTGCTTTGAACTTGAATGCTCCAGGCAGGGCCACAGGTGAGGCCTGCTGCCCTGCCCATTCCCCTGGCACCCCTTCCTGCCCTTTCTCTTCTATGAGTTCAGTCTGTGCTCTGTAAAGTTTCTGGGAAGTAGAGGAGAAGAGGAAGTAGAGGGTGAGGAGTCCACCACTGGGAGAGGACCTTAACCTTGTGGGCCTCACTGGCTGGCTGGAAAGATGGGAGGCAAGGGATGCTCTGGTGAGGGGAATGAACTCCCCAGTGTCATGAGCACTATTCAAGTTGGGGATCTTGAGTTACAGACTCTGTAGTTTTGGGTGGGATGGTATTTGAATCTAGGTGGGCTTAGAAAAGCCAAGGAAAAAAGAACATTCCAAATGGGGGAAATCATGGGCAAAGGCACAGGGCTTGCAAGCATAAGTGGATCTTTTTGGGCTCCTGGGTTATTTTTGCTTAAAGCTCAGCTCTTTCCCTGACTGTGAAGGCAGGTTGCCTTTACACACGCAGGGTAACTGAGGACCAGAAAGAACAGTTGGCATTGTAGGTGGCAGGGCCTGTGGCAGCCACTGTGATGTGTTTCAGGAGCCATCAGCTACACTCTGCTCTACAATTGCCTGGATTTTCCTGCGGGGGTGGTGCCTGTCACCACAGTGACTGCTGAGGACGAGGCCCAGATGGAACACTGCAGGGGCTACTTTGGGGATATCTGGGACAGGATGCTGCAGAAGGTAAAGCTGCCTACTCATACCCCCCCACCAGCATACTGCCCCCTCCAGCTCCAGCTGCTATGGAGGACACAGTCAGCATTTGCAGTCCTTGCCAGCCTGCCTTAAAGCAAGCCTCAAGCCTGCTTCTGGCCTCACTTGCTGCCCGTCCTCTCTGGTGGAACACTTGCTGCCTGGACCTGGGGTGGGGTCCCACCTCACTTCCCCCATCCTGATGCCTGTGTACCCTGCAGGCCATGAAGAAGAGCGTGGGGCTGCCTGTGGCTGTGCAGTGTGTGGCTCTGCCTTGGCAGGAAGAGATGTGTCTGAGGCTCATGCGAGAGGTAGAGCGACTGATGACTCCTGAAAAACGGCTATCTTAAGGGCCACCTGCCTGCCTTGCTACAGAGGACCTGAGATCCACATGCTCTGTGGCCCAGCCTAGTCAGGACACTCTGCTGCCTCACAAAGAAGTGCTCAGCATGGGGCAGAGGCTTGCACATCCCTTCCTTTGTAGACGTGCAGAAACCCTCCCCCACCATCTGGACCTTTCTTCCCCTCTGGTCCCCTCTTCACCCTGATCCCTCACCTATGTGGCAGCCAGCCTATATACCATGAACCAAGGCCCACCAACAGTCAACAGTTCTTCATCTGTGCACTGTCTGGGTATTACCATTAGGGTGTTTGGGGCTGGAGCCTGTTGAGAAGTGGCTTTCCACAGCCAGCTGCAGCCATGTCACTTTCCTGCTCCAAAATCACCCTGGCATCTATAACCCACAGGATGTCCCTGGCACTTCACTCTGGACACTTCTTTCTTGCTTGGACTCAGCCCAGCTTTGCTGGACACTGCCCTGGTTCTCCTTCCTTCCTTTGCTCCTTTTCTCTGCTAACATGCCCTTTCTGCTCCTCTGTTGCTCAACCCTTTGAGGCCCAACTTGAATTCCTCTTTCTCCAGGATGCCTGCAATTCTTCCTCAGGGCCCTGAAGGGTTTGGGCTGTTTCCTCCTAGTCTGCTTTATATGGGGGCATCTGTGGTGAGTCTATCTCCCTGAGCACACTGACTCACCTCGATGGCAGGAGACTCCACTGCTACATCTTTGTCTTCCATGGTCAGCACAGGGCAGCAGGGGAAGTGCCAGAGTTGAGTGGACACAGCTGGCCCTAAGCTGGTGTTGTTGGGCAGAGGAACCCACCAGCCTGAGGAGGAGAGCACAAAGCAAGGCAATCTGGTCAAGGATGCTCACAGAGCCCACCAAGGCCTGGATTGCTCTAAGAAGGCATCCTGGAGGATGGGAGGATCTGTGTTAAGTCTAAAAGTTCTGGGAGGCTGAGATAAGGGATAAGAACATCCAAGGGAAAAGGGGCAGTATACCAAAGACCAGGGTGATCTTGGCAATGGCAGGCATGTTGAATGAACACAAGGGAAGCAGAGATGCAGGTGAGGCCAGATCAAGGTAGACCTGGAGTCAGGAACTTGAGCTCTGTCTCAAGGGAGATGAGGGTTCTTGAAGGTTGTCATACAGGTTCAGTGAGGAGGGCAGATTGGAAGGGCAAAGACTGGGGAAGGATAAGGACATTTCTCCATGATCCCTAATCTGGGGAGAGGGACCTGAGGCCTGAGCTGTTGCCCAGGGCAGAGAGGGGCTGTCTGGGAATTGAAGTGAGTTGTCTCAGCCCTGGCCAGACTACCAGCTCATCTCTTACTGGATTGCATTGCCTGACAGGTGAAGGGCAGCTGGTCTGTGGCAGACTAGGAGTTTCTTGCCTCCCTCAGGCAAGAATACCCTTCAGAATACCCTGATCTTCCTTGGTCCCAGCTCTAACTCTGCTGACTGGTGATGTGTCAGGGTCTGTGCTCTGGGAGCATGGCAGGCCCCTGGCTCCCATCTAACCTGTTTCACATTCTTTACAGAGCAAATTGCTTACCCAAGACTTCCTTCTCTAGCCTGATTGTTCTACTCCACCAGAAGTGCTTTTCCCTTTACGACTGTACCCAGTGGTGACTGCAGTCTACCAATGCTCTCTGCCCTGAGAGGAGCCAGTCACATGCAGTCACTGCAATAATTTCCAAACAGGACCTCCAGCTTCCATCCTCATCTGTCCCCAGTTCATTCTCAATATAGTAGCCAGAATGATCTTTCAAAAGTGTCAGATTGAGTTATTTCCTGCTTAAGACTTCCATAGCTTCCCATCTGGCCTAGAATAAAATCTGTCTCCTCCTCGTGTCTTTTTTTTCTTTTTTTTTTTTCTGGTGGCACTGGAGTTTGAACTCAGGGTCTTATACTTGCTAGGCAAATTCTCTTACCACTTGAGCCATGATCCCAGCTTCCTCCTTGCATCTTACAAACCTGTGGGATATAGTTCTTGGGGGTCTCTTCCTCCCATTCCCTGTGCTCCAGCCACATGAGCACCTTTGGTTTCTTGATCATCTTGAGCTGGTCCCTGCTTCACTGGTACTGGCGTTTTTGAACTCAGGGTCTCATGCTTGCTGGACAGGCACTCTACCATTTGACCACTCCACCAGCCCCTTGAAGCTTTCTTGTTAGTTACTCCCTCTGCTTGGCCCACTTGGCCTCAGTGTCACCTTGCCTGATCACCTGCTTGTAAAGGTCTCCTCTGTCACTTTCTATTGTCACCCTTTTTATTTTGTTCATAGCATTATCACTATCTGAAATCATTTATGTTACGGGTTTTGTCTTCTCCACTAAAGCAACCATACTGTTTCTTATTGGTGACTATATTCTTGGTATGAATGGCACACAGAAGGTGCTTGATTAAACCAGTGAAGTTAAATGAGCATTTGCTAGTGGCCAGACACTGTGTTGAGTGCTGGGACTGCAGTGGTGGGTGAGACAGGTGTGGTTCTTGTCTTCATGGGGCTTAAATTGTGGAAGATTTTTCTCAAAAGAGGGAAGGGAGAAATGAAGACCCTACAGGAAAAAAGGAGAAAAGGCATCTTGAACTACATTTACTGAGTCCTTACTATGAGCCGCCTACCTTCTGGGCACTGGGTCATCATGTCATTTAATCCTCCTGTTAACCCTATTATAGGCATTTTTAAAGGTACTTACAAACTTTCAAACTTAAATTAAAAAGCAAAAGAAATAATCAGAAAAAATTACTTGAAAGTAGTCAGGTGTGAGTGGCTCATGCCTATAATCCTAGCTACTCAGGAGGCAGAGATCAGGAGGATCATACTTTGAAGCCAGCCCAGGCAAATAGTTTGTGAGACCCTATCTCGAAAACCCTTCACACACACAAAAAAAAATAGGGCTGGTGGAGAGGCTCAAGGTGAAGGCCCTCAGTTCAAGCCACAGTACTGCCAAAAAAAAAAAAAGTAAATGTATTAGCATTTCTAGTATAGGAATCTTTGTTCCATTTTACAGAAAGATCACATGTCTTGCCCAAAATCCATGACTGGAAGTGGGGAATTGGAATGGAACCTGGGTCAGCCTCTTTTGGTACCTACATGAGCTCTTTCTGGTGTCCCATGATGCTGAGGAGGCACAGTGACCAGAGGAAGGACAGTAGAAGTCAACTCCTCCCTTCCCTTCCCGTCCACCAGTCTGCTGACTTCAAGACCTTCCAAATCACAAAGCTGCTGCCTGTTCTCACAGCCTTTCCCCTTTTTGACCTTGTTCACTGCCACAGCTCCTTGCCTGGCCTCCCTTGCTTCCAGGGTGATCTTTTCTAGGTATCCTTAGAAATGCTTCCTATGGCAGTTAGGGATCTTTCTAAATTGTGTCTGATCTCACTTATGGTTTAATATCACCTGTGCCAAGTGCAGACGCCTTCCTCTGACCTACTTTCCCCTGAGATAGAGAGACTTAGCATGTCCAGTGCTATGAGGAAGGAGTGGCAGAGATAATGGAGTGGGGATAGGAAAAGGTAGGAATGGAGGGTTCCACCTACTATCATTGCCTCAATGGAGAATTATCAGGTGCCTTGCAAAAGATTCTCAAATTTATGAAACTTATTTTCTAGGGAGTGAGATAGAAAATAAGTACATAGATAAAGAAGATAATTGTCATTCATAAGTGTGATGGAGAAGTCAAGTGGGGTGGTGTATGGGGGAAGGTACAACTCAAGAAAAGGGGGGGTAGCAAGACCCAGGTGCTTTGGGGTCTGGTACAGCTGCCACATGGCCTGGGGAGCTGAGGGTATCAGTGAGGATGGAGCAGGGCTGCGGAGAAAGGCACAAGGACAGAGGAAAATGAGTTTTGCGGGAGCTTTGCAGATGATGGAGTCAGAGTGTTGGAAGGTGAATGACTCAAGGTTACCCCTTGGGTTGTGACCAACAAGTCATTTGACAACCTCATATCTGCTCCTAAGTGATCCTCGGGGGCTCACACTCAACATTATCAACCTCAATTCCTTCCCACCCAAATCTGCAGCTTCTTGAGAGCAGTCACCAGCATCTATCCTTACTTCCTGAGATGGGCTTCACTGAAACATCCAAGAATGGAAGGGTTCCTAGTCCAAGTCCCCTCTACTCTCCAGTTTCCAGTCAACCATGTTTCCTGCTCCCTCCTTCTCCCCTTCCCACCCAACCACAGACCCTTCTTCCACTGGGAGACCCAGAGATGGGGAGGTTGGAGCCCTGGGCTCCCAGCTGTCTGCTTCACTCTTGGGTCATCTCCCCTGGTCAGGTGCAAGATGATCCCTAAGGTCTCTTGCCTATCCTCCCCCCAGGTCCCTTTCTTCTCTGCCTGGGTCCCAAATGCTTCTGAGGAGGCATTTATCCACTATGGGCAAATGGCCTGTAAAAACACCTCTGTGTGTCTGCCTATGTGGAATGCAGGGCCTGGTGATTGTCCTGAAAGCAACAGGAAGCCAAAGAGGTGACCCATCTGGAACTCTCGAGTGTCAGATAGGGTGCTCGAGGGGCGTCTGAGAGAAGGATCTGGGGAAAGTGAGTCAGAGCCTCAAGCTGCAGGCTTGGGACTTTCTTCAGGTTCGTCTCTGCTGATGCCTCTTCTCTGTGTGGTTGGTGTCCCCAGAGAGTCCATGTAGGGGTAAGGACTGGCTTGGAGGAGGCTGGGCCTTGCCACACCCAGGGCTCTGGGGTGGGTGGGTGCTCTGGCAGTATAGCTGACAACAAGCTGGAGGTGCTCTTGAAGAAACAGCAGATTCATCCACACAGGGTGGTGTGGCTGTCTTACTCCCTGGGGGATTCTCCTGCTGGCCCAGCTGGCAGTTGCCCTGTTCTTCTTGCAGCATGCTTCAGCATGGAACAAGATCCCTAGGACACAGAAGCATAGGAAGGTGGTGCTGCAGCAGACAGAGGTTCTGGCTCAGCAGCTTAAGATGTCAGTTCCTGAGGCCACCAGCCCCAGGGAGCTTTGGCTGTCAGTCTCCATACAAGAACCCCTCCTCAGGACAGTCCTCCTCCCATGGCCTCACTCCTTCAGAAGACAGGGAGCACTGATGGGCCATCCTCCACCCTCAACTCTCCCTAGCCTGCTCTTAATTTCACCAGTCAGCTCTTCCTCCAAACATGGACATGACTTGGAGCCCCTGGAGGTCGGGCAATGTGTTGTTTCTGTTCTCCCAGCACTCAGCATCTGGCTTAGTAACGTGCTGACTTGGGATATAGAATACACACACACACACACACACACACACACACACACACACACACACAAAACACAACTTAACTTTGAACTCGGGACCTTGTGCTTGCTAAGAAGGCTCTCTACTACTTGAGTCACATCCCCTAGCCCAGGGTAGTTGTTAAAATAAACTGACGGAAGCAAGTAGAGGTAAAAAACCAGGGCATGAACACCCCCAAGCCGCACTGAGATAAGGACCTAATTGACACATTCCCCCTTCCACCCCAACATCCCTCAGTTCTGAAAACATTTGCTGAGTACCTGATAGGATTTTGTTATTTGATTCTTTGTTTTGAGACAGGGTCTTGCTATGTAGCCCAGGCTGGCATTGAATGCTGTCTTCCTGCCTCAGCCTCCTCATGCTAGGATTACAGGTATGCACTAACATACCTGGCACCTCATAACTATTTCAAGGCATTGAGACCATCATTGTGACTGGCTGGCTGGGATCAGCAGGTGAAGTGATTGAGCCCTGGATATACCAGCAAAGCCCCAAAGGATGGCAGAGAAAAGGGCGGGAAGGAGGGGCATGAAGACAAGCAGAGACTGAGCCTGGGATCCACTATGTGACCTGGAGGATTTGACAGTTCCTCAGTGGGTTTTGGGATCCCCAGTTGCTGGAGGATGGGAGGGCTCACAGTATTTGGGATCCCCAGATTTGGTTGATGGTGGCAGATTCTCTCTGGGAGCCCCAGAGGTGGGGGGCTAGAGTTAGCACCTGAGGTACAGTCTCAATGCTTTGGAGATCCTGAATGTCCTCTGCCATCCCCTGGATGGTGATTGATAGCCCCAACAGGCAGCTTCTCTGCCCGAGCTGCAGCAGTTACTGAGAACATGTATTAATATTAATTGGGGCTAATTAGTTGGATAAATCAATCCACCCCCAGAGAGTAGCTGCCCCTCCCTGGTTGATGAGGAGGATGTCTAAGCTAATGGGGTTGCTGTGGCGAATCAGCATGATGGAGAGGGTTCCTGTGTGGGTCTGGAAACCCCATCTGTGGGTGATGACAACTTAAGTGCCTTTATTGTGACTGAGGCCTGCTCACGCATGCCTTCTGCTGGTGTTTCATTGTATTGTTGGGTGTGTGTTTGGTGGTGTGCTACTGGACTCTGGTTGTGTGCCTGTGATGTGTGCACCTGGCTGCGTGGCCATGTGCATATCTATGTATCTATAATATATTATTTATAACCTATTCATATCCTCCTGTATATATATATATTTTTTGCAGCACTGGAGTGTGAACTCAGGGCCTACACCTTGAGCTACTCCACCAGCCCTTTTTTTGTGAAGGGTTTTTTTCAAGATAGAGTCTCACAAACTATTTCCCCCGGCTGGCTTTGAACTGTGATCCTCCTGATCTTTGCCTCCTCAGTAGCTAAGATGACAGGTGTGAGCCACTGGCACCTGGCTGGGCATGTGCTGTTACTGGTTGGAGTGTGTATATCTTGATATGTCTGGCTAGGGTGTGTCTGAATGTTTGACTGAGTGTGCATATATGAGGTTGTGGTCTGATACATGGGGAAAGCTGGTTCTGTGTGGATCTGTGCATCTGGTTGGTGGATATGTGGATGTCTGGGGTATTTTACCAGGTGGATACCAGGTGGAGGTGTGTGACTGTTTGGCTGAGGCGTGGAGGGGGTGGGGTGAAGTTACCATTGGCGTCTCCTGGATCGTAACTGCAGGCTTCTTGGCTCTTAGCCATTTGTCATATAGGTGGCCCTGGGCACTTTCCCAGTCTGGTTACCCTCCAGCAGGGATACCCTTAAGGGGAGGAGGAAGGATGACACAGGTGAAACCTTCACAGGGCTCAGATAAACCCAGTTCAGTTCAGTTTATCAAAATTTCACAGGACCCCAATCAGTCCACCCAAGGGGTTCCTTCTGGGTCTTTCTTTGTGTTGCACCCTGAGAACAAATTCATTCTTAAGATGCATCTCAGCCAAGCTTAATGACACACATCTGTACTCTTGGCTACTTGGGAAGGAGGACAGCTTGAGGCCAGAAGTTTGAAGCCTGCCTGGGCAACATAGAGAGATCTAATTTTATTTAAAAAAAAAAAAAAAAGGAATCCATGTCTTAAAGAAGTTCCTAGTCTAGTCTAGGTGGCGGAAACAGCTGTGCAAACCACAACAGAGGCAGCTCTGCTGAGTGTGGCAAAGGCCAGATCCCACAAAGCCATAGAACTCAGCAATTGGGGGGGGGGTCCTGTCTCAGGAGGGTCCTGTGGGGGAGGCTTCACAGAGAGGTGATGTTTGAGCCTTGCAGGATTCATAGTTTTCTAAAAGGAGGGACAAGAAAAGCAGTATGAAGGAGGGAAAAGCCTGAGATAAGGCAATGTTCTGTAGAACACACAGAAAATACTATTTGTAGTAAGGCCCACTGGAGTAAATGGGCAAGTTGCTCATAGCTGGACGCTGCTGGCCAGGAGGCTGTGGTCACCTTAGGTGAGACCTGGTCACCTTGAGGGTAGAGGATTTTTATGATATTAAGCATATTTAATACCATTTTGGGAAATAGTAATAATTACTGAAAAATTGAAAATATATTT